AAAAAAAAAAAAAAAAAAAAAAGAATGAGCAATGGGCAGAAGAGGAGAAATCTTACTGTATGGTTAAGTTTCATGACAATAAAAGTCACAAGTGTTTGGTAGACTGGAGGACAGTGAGTAACAATCATAGGAACATTCTGCAGAGTCCTAATTGCCATGCAAAGGAATCACACTTTGATTACACTTGCAATTTATCACCAAGCATTTATTTTCTAATATAATTTTCTAGTCACATTTTTTAAGAGATTCAAGGCTGAATTTTCATTTTCTTGATTTGGTATCACCAAATCCAGTCACATGGTTCAAAAGTTTTAAAAATATAAAAAGCTATAGTTAAACCAAAATAAATAAAAGTTTATGGTCCACAAAAAGACTCATACAAGAAAGTTCTTAGCTGCTTTAGTAATAATCTATCAAAAACTGGAAACAAAAATGTCCACCAGCAGATTAGATAAACAAATGGATATATTTATACAATGGAATATTATTTAGCCAAAAAAAATGGAAGGAGGGAGAAGAAAATGAACTGATACACTCAGCAATATGGATAAATCTCAAAAATAGTATGTACAGGAACAATCTCACTTATATGAAGTATAAAACAGGCAAAGGAACCCACAGTGAGAAAAAGAAACGCAGACCTTCAGTACATATAGGAGCTGAGGGTGTCCAGAAAGGGTCATGATGTAACTTCCTGACTGACAGCAATGTTCTAAACCTTGAAAGGATTTGGATTTCACAAGGTGTTGTAACTTATTAACTGTTATACTAAAGATGAGTGTGCTTCACTATATGAAAATTTTACCTCAAAGACAAAGAACCATAAACAAACACTGAATTATAGTCAATGATATGCAAGCTGAAATGTGTAGGGGTAAAGTGTACTGATGTCTACATCTGTGACATACTTTGAAATGCACCAAGAAAAAAAAGTACTGAAAATGGATAGAAAATTGAAAACATGATAAACAGAACAAAATGTTAATTACATCTGTGTTTAAAAACTGTGATAAAATGTTTTGTTGAAAAGGTACACAGTGGTCTCCCTTCCCTTACTCTCCCCTCTCACATACACACTCTTATCATAAATAACCATTGTCAATAGTTTCATGTAATATTCTTCCAGTTTCTTCATATACACAACAAGCAAAATAAAACCTATTATTTTTTTTTTATAAAAAAATGAGTACAGTATGGATATTACCCTGTATTTTGGCTTTTTTTCTTATTATTTCTTGGTAAGGTTATCATTATCAGTACATGGAAAGCATCATTGTGAATGGATATGTCATAATTTTTCTAATTAGTCACTTGTTAGTAGACATTTAGGCTGAATCCAAACTCTTGCTATTGCAAAACTACAATCAAATTTCTAAACAAATGTTTTAATTAAAATTATTTTTTGGGGGGTTAATAAATATACATCTATATCACCCCCACAAATAAATTTAAAAACAAAATTAAATTTCTTTCTTTACTCATCCTCTGTACTTCACCTATCTGACCCCTCAAACTCTCTGTCTCTAAGCCATTAAACACACACAAGCTCTTGAACAGACACTTCTCCAAAGAAGAAATAGAGATGGACAACAGGCACATGAAAAGATGCTACACATCACTAGTCAGGGAAATGCAAATTAAAACCACAGTGAGATATCACCTTACACCAATTAGAATGGCCATTATCCAAAAGACAATAAACAACAAATGCTGGCAAGGATGCAGACAAAGGGGAGCCCTCCTATACTGTGGTGGTGGGAATGTAAACTGATTCATCAACCGTGTGGAGAGCAAGCAATATGGAGGTCCCTCAAAAAACTAAAAATAGAAATACTATTTGACCTAGTAATTCCACTCCTAAGAATTTACCCAAAGAAACCAAGATCCCTGATTCAAAAAGACATATGCACCCCTATGTTTATTGCTGCACTACTTACAATAGCCAAGATACGGAAGCAACCTGTCAATAGATGAATGAATAAAGAAGATGTAGTACACAGACACCATGGAATATCATGCAGCCATAAAAAGAAAAGAAATCCTCCCATTTGCAGCAACATGGATGGAGCTAGAGGGTATCATGCTCAGTGAAATAAGCCAGGTGAAGAGAGGCAAATATCAAATGATTTAACTCATTTGTGGAGTATAACAACAAAGCAAAACAGAAAGAACAGAATAGCAGTGGACTCATAGACACCAAAAAGGGACTAGTGGTTACCAAGGGGGAGGGGTGGGAGAGGGAGAAGGGATTAAGGGACATAATAATTCACAATCACAACATAGGTAGGTTACGGGGACGGTAGTACAGCACAGAGAATATAATTAATGACTGTAACATCTTACTACATTGATAGTGATCACAATGGAGTGGATGGGGACTTGATAATATGGATGAATGTTGAACCACTGTGTTGTGTATTTGAAACCATCATAAAATTGTATATGAATGATACTTAAGTAAAAAACAAAACAAAAAAACACACGAGGTCTACCAAGGCATTACAAATGACTAAGCAAACAGCCAAGTAGCCATTTTTCACAACTAAAAAAACTCACAAAAACTCACACAAGTTAGGTTATCTTCTATGACAGCCCCATAAAACTGTATACATCTGGAGTCAAGCAGAACAGGTAAACACTCACACACCCCATGACTGTGTTCTGCAATTTTGGCCAAAATATTTATCTATCAGGCCTTTCACAATAAAGATACAATACATTAATGGTAAAAGCAAAAGTGTAATAAGATAACTGAACTCCTTTTTAAGTTAATTTTCTCTATTATTAACAAACGTATTGTGAAGTTTACTAAATAATTACACTTTTTTAGTCAAGTACTATTCAAACTCTGTCCTGAAGCTTTTCCCCTAATACATAGTAGTCCAGTATTTTTTGTAAAATACAATAAAAATGTTATGGCAATATCAAATGGCTGTAGAATTTCTAATTACTTTCTGAACTCATTACAAACAAAAGGTCTGAAGGTTTAAACCATAAGTATGACTAAATTTTTTGTTTTATTTTTTATTAAGTTATCATTGATATATAATATGAAGGTTTCAAATGAAGAACATTATGGTTACTACATTCACCCATATTATCAAGTCCCCCACCATACCCCATTGCAGTCACTGTCCATCAGCGTAGTATGATGCTATAGAGTCACTACTTGTCTTCTCTGTGCTATACTGCCTGCCCTGTGACCCCCCTACCTTAGGTGTGTCAATCATAATGTCCCTTAATCCCCTTCTCCCTCCCTCCCCACCCACCTTCCCTACACCTATCCCTTTGGTAACTGCTAGTCTCTTCTTGTAAGCATGATTAAATTTTTTTAATTTTACAAAATTATCTAGTCATCAATCTAAATATGTCACTATAACTTAGAAAAAAAATTAGTTTACCTTGGGAAAATATTTGTATAGTCCCATGTACGCAAGTTGTAAAGTAAGAAATGGAGCAAATATGGACTGTGAAGATAAAGATAAAATTATATATTTCCAACATAATCATTCAGAGAAGATAAACCAAACTTAATAGCAGCTATAAAATTCCTAACAAAATAAAATTGTTAATGAAATCTTTAATTTTAGCAGCTGAAAATAGTATTGTTTCTGCAGAAAGATGAAAGGTTTTATCATAAAATATGTTTCTCAAGTCGGTCTTTTAATATCCCCAAAAATGTCTTCTCTCATAAACACTTACCTTTTAAATGATTTAAAGTATTCAGTGGTTGACAGACAGGTACCATGCTGCAGTTACATCGCACTCATCTAGAGCTAATTAGATGGTGATTTAAAAGCACACATAAAAGGAGGCCCAGAACTCAAAATAGATGCCATACATTCCTCACTTTGGGGCAAGAAATTCATATAGCACATTTCTGGCCTTCAAACAACAAGTGATCAAGTGATTATTAGTATAGATAAAATGGCTTGGTTATCTTGCTTTCCACACAGTAAAATAGAAAAGATCAAAGTAATACTTAACTTACATTTATTTCTAATAATAAAAATACAAAGGGAGTGAAGAAGCAAGTATTACTAGATGGAAGTAGAGCAGAGGACTGAGAAATGACAGTTGAAAATCTGATACCAAGGAAAACCAGAAAGCCCAAAAAAAAAACCCTCACATGAAAACAAGGCACAAAAATATGACATCATTTTTAAATGCATGAAAGCATACAGCAACCTACATGAGAAAAAAAGCAGTTACACATCTCTAAATGCTGAAAGCTATGACATTTCCCATCAGTTAAAAAAAACCTATGTAACAGATTCTCTTTAAGAAAATATTTGCGTAAAAAAATTTTAAAAACTTTTTAATAGTACAAACCTTAATTATCTTATGTGCCTAGTATTTGGTAGGTATTCTTAAAATGTCTGCAGAGTGGAAATACCTTAAAGCGGAAGACACTGAACTATGAACTATGCTTTTCTTCACTCCGCCACATACCGGAAAACAACCAGTATATCCGAACTGATTAGGAAGAGCCAGCCACTGGCACATGAGGGCACAACAGGCAGGAACTGCCATTATGGAAACACTACGTTACAAAATGCTGAAATGCCTTCTGAACCACAGAAAATTTACCTAATGTTCAGGACGACAGGAACTACATTTTAATGTTTCAAATTGCTTGAAAAGTGGTAATTAATATATAGTATACCTAAGTACTTAACCCTTTGGTCTTGGATTGAAACTGCCAAGATTTAATCTCAGCACTCATTATTACCGATTTGCACTTTCCATTATGCCAGTTAGCAGCTGTGTGACCTTGGGTAAATGACCTAGCCTCTGAGTCTTCATTCCCTCATCTAAAAACAGATTCAAACATACCTAGTTATAAGGATGAGGTTAAATGAATTAATAAATGTAAAGCACTCAGAAGGTAGAAAGAGCCTGGCAATTATTATTAGGCTCTGTATTTAACTGGAACTCCTCACTGTATAACTAAGGTGAATAGCAGTTTATAATACATCTCCAAATAGCCATGCAATCTGGTAAATATTAAGTTAATATTCGCAATGAATTCTATGGATTAAAAGCGCTCATGATTATTATTACCAATTTGCACTTTCCATTATGTTTCTTACCAAGTATTTGCAAACAAAAGCTCTGACTCCAAAAGCAAGAAGGGCACATCCCACCAATCTAAATATCCGAAAAGAGTCAAATTCTTCTGCTGTGTTCCCATCCTCTTGATTGGGTTTTTCACTAATCAGCTGTTTCCTTAGCTTCATTGCTTCTTCAAATCTGGAGAGGTACTGCTCTAGGCCTTGGCGAGAACCCCTCTGGACAGTGTCTGCAGTCAGGTCCCCTCTGTTCCGCGGCCGGAGCTCAAGGCTTACATCATTACTGCACTCAGGTGGTTTAATGAAAGAGTCCATTTTGTCTCCCAGCTGAGTCCCTTTTACTTCAGCCGCACCAATCTGCTGGTCAGTTGTTCCTGTGCTCACCGAATCACCCATCACTACTCGTTTTGAAACTGAAGGAATGGTGAGGGAGTTCAGTTTATCACTGTCCTGATGTTTTGATTTTGTTTGACTTTCTTCTTCTGAGAAAAGAAATGTAGAAGCCTTATGTATTACATATTGACAACGCCCTTCATGTTAATATTAATAAATACACCACTGTATCTAGAACTCGGTAGTCTCTTTATCTAAATCATTACTGGTTCTGCATAAAACATAAACTAGTTCCTTCCTCTACACCTTTATAATTTATCACCGAAAAAAAAGTATCCCTGCAGAAGAAATAATCCAAACTTTGGGAGCAGAAAATAAGACTGGTGGACAAATTGGGAAACATGGAGATGCAGCAACCTACAAAGACCAAGTTTTTATGAATAATGATAGAATCTGGACCTGAGTAGCACCTTTCAAATAAGCCCACCCACCATCAGAGAGAGACCTAGGGTGTCATCTTACCATGGCTACAAGCATCCTCCAGAGGACATGTCAGCAAGCCACAAGCCCAGCTTTTCCGACCCCTCCCTTCAAAAAGCCCGCCCCAAACCCAGGCCATAAAAAGCCTCTCGACCTGTTAAGAGACCTTTTCCTTTGTTCTGCTGGCCAGGACAGAGGGGTCCCTCTCAGGTTCAGCAATAAACCTGCTTGGACTGTTGAGTTCGCACCCCCCTCTTTTCTTTCATCTACCCCCTCTTTTCTTTCACCTGTTCCCTCTATCTCTTTCAGATAATACATCCTTCAGAAGTATAACTATATTGCCTGCTTTAGTTTATTTAGTTAAAAAATATGAAACCATTAAAGCTTTTTAAAATCTGTATTTTAATACTGCATTTCTGAATCCAGAATCCTTGACAGGACAGAGTCCAGCACAGGGCGTGGCATATCCCAAGGCTACTATTTACACAATCCATCTACTGTAGTCAAGAAGCCATTACTAGGTTTTTAAGGGCAGTTTTAAGATGCTATTCTGGTTTAAAACAAAAAACCTTTACCGACAGCTAAGATTTTCGAGGTAAAAAAAAATAAAGAACGTACCTCGGAGAAAGACAATAAATACTTTGGGAAATAATAAATAGCCTATTGTTAAAGGAAGAAATGTATCTTTTAACTATTGTTCTAGAAGAATTTGAAATAGTACTCTTGGTGGTCTTCCACCACAAACTTTTGAACTGTCTAGTTCAAAGCTACGTATCTAAGACCCCACAGAGCAGAAGTCACGACGCTCTAAAGAGTTTGCAACTAGTGACTAAAGGCAGCACTCCAGGGAAACTTACTTAGCACTAGCACATAGTAAGTGTTCAATAAGCATTCACATTTTTTTTTTTTTAAAGAAACTCATTGTACATGTCATTGGGGGAAAATTAAGGACTCTCTTCAGGGTTAAATGCAGTTCCTGACATCAATCCCAGCACACCAGGAAAAAAGACTTCAGGTGGGCACATACCACTTTTGGGGTCTACAAAAAATAGTCGCTCCAATTTTTTTCGCTCGTTTTAGAATGCCTGCAGTTGACAGTATTAAGGGCACTCAACACAGACACTAGGATATGACCGTAAGAGTCCCTAGTCTAGGAAGAACTAGGGGGCTATTTTGTAAAAATAAGCTCATGTGCGCCAACAGGAGTTACAGCACAAGGCAAAAGAAAACACGGCGCTAGAAGGGGAAGCATTTGGACGGCAGGAGGAAAGCAGGAGGCACAACGGGCAGCGCCCAACTGGAGTCAAATGTGCGCCCTCAAGGAAGGCGAGGGGCTGGCGAAGGGAGAAGGGCCGTCTCAGGGAAAGGGCAGAGGGCACCGGCACAGGCATCCCGGGGCGAGGGCTGAGCCCGTCGCGGAGGCAGGGCAACCTCAGGACGGAGCCCCCCGGAAAACTGAGAGCAACTAGAGGCGTCGGGGGGTTACGAAGGGTGGACTTGGGACATTCGCCTAAGGGGCGGGAACAGAGATGAGGTCAGAGAGCAGGTTTGGTCAGAAAGTCAGGAAGACGCAAAAAGGAAAGGAACGATCCTGAAGCCTCTGGTGTGAGCGCGGGACCGAAGGGAAACGGGAGGTTCTCACCCGCGCCGCTCCCCGGCCTGTGAAAGCCCATGATGCGGTTGATGCGCTGCTCCGAGTTCAGGAGCAGCTTTCTCCGCCGAAGCTCAGCCCGGCGCTGGGAAGCTGACAGGCCTGAGCCCGCCGGGGCCTCCGGCCGGTCCCCGCTATCAAGAGCGATGGTCACCGGCTCCATCTTCCTCTCCGCAATCACGGAGTGGCGGCAGCGGTGCTCGCAGCGGCACAGCGGCACCCACGACTTCAGGCCCGACTGCAGGGCACGAAATCCCCTCCCAGCCTCGGCCCGCCCCGCCCGCGCAAGGCCGGAGCTGCGGACTAAGCTCGCGCGCTGCCTCATGGGATCGAATGCGAGGCTTGCTCCGCCATCATGAATGAGGGCAACGCTGGGCGCCCGTTCCCCACGCACGACTGTCCCTCCCTGCTCTTTTGTCTCGCCACCAAGCGCCTCTGCTTCACTCGCGGGGTGAAGAAAACCGACATCCAACCTGACAAGCGGGAAAGGGATGGGAGCAAAGACAACGTAGGGAGAGCAGTGCCAGGAAGCAAAATGGAGGATGCAGCAGTAAACACTGGTTTCCAGTGACCTTCCGCGGCCTCATTTATAGGTCACTGGAATACGTAACAGCGCGAGCGGCGCTTTACGTAGCGTGGCGCTTAAGGATTTCCCTTAAGGCTGACTCCTAGTCTTCAGCCTCTTTTTCTAAATAAACGTCTGGTTTTGTTGGAGGGAAGTTGGTTCAGAGACTCAGGGAAGTCAGAGTATAAGGTGATTAGAATGAAAAAGCAAAGTAATAAAGACACCACTGGAAAAGCGCGGAGACACAACGTTATAAGTGAGAGGTTTATTTAAAGCAAAAGCAAAAAGGTGCACACTCAGAGAAGGGAGAGTGTGGGCTACCTCAGAAGAGGTGCCCCTAAGGTTTTAGGGTCTGGGGTTTTATAGGCGGTTGAGGATTTTCAAAGGGCTAGGGCTGTGGACTTGTTAAGTGGTCCCAAATGTTCATCCTTGTTGAGGCATTACATCTTTCTTTTGATTAGTTGTCCAAGTAATTCTGCAAAAGTAATGTTAAATTCACTGCTGATTTCTTCCCAGAATAGCAGCTTTTTTGGTCTGGGGGCATATCAAGACCACTTGCCATGCCCCTCAGGATGGGCCAAGTTATAATTTTTTTGCTAAACGTGGTATGTTAAGGATCTTATTTCTTCCTGGATTTTTTTAAATATAATTTTTGCTTTTAGGTGAGATCCTCCTGTCTCATGCCGTTTATGTATCTGGGCCTTTCAGCAGGCAGGCTAAAGTAAATTTTACAATGGCACATGATCTAATTGACACAATGAAGATATGGGTTATGCTGAGTGTAAGTCCCGGGGGAGGAAATCCCGGGGCAAAATACCTCTAAAAACCGAGATCAGTCAAAGGGAGAAATAAAGTTTAAAATCTGCTTATTGCTTACAAAATGCAGTCCAGGCCCTTCTCTTTTACCTGCTCCAGCAGAAGCAAAACTGGCCCTTCCCTCACCTCTCAGGTACAGATAAGCCCTCCTTACCCAGTTAATTATCCATTGATATGGAGATAAACTTCTCTCCGCCCCTGAGGAATGATGCAAATGCAGGAAAGCCGTACTTCTTTCCACCTCTGAATGCCTGTTGATAGGCAGATGTACTAAAGCCAGGGGAGATTTTCCGGAAGTATTACAATTTTACCCACACTGAGATATTTCTCTTTATCTGGGGAATATTCAAACATTCAAGGCCAAATTGCTCCTGACCTTTTGAGCTTTAAGTGATTAACTCTCTTTTCTGGCTTTCTAGTATTAACTGGTTAACGGAGTCCTTTCTAGGGGGTTTTACCGACCTTGTTCTTTTTCCACCCTGCTCATATCTATTTTGCTGCCTAACAGTTTGTTCCAGGAGTTCCTCACGTCTTTGTTTAAGATTGTCCCAGAGAAACCCTCCCTGTCCATTCTATTTAAATTGCCATCTGTCTTGCCAATAGGTTTCAGCCCCGGGCAAGTTCACTATGGATTCAATGTGACCAAAGAAATTACAGTAAAATGTTCTTGGGGGTAAAAGTGTTATACCCAACTTTATTTCCATGGTGGCAGGTCAATCACTAAAATTCCATCCACTCAGAGCGAATTTGCATGCAGCAAGCCAGTCTCTGCCTCTGGGCCCCTCTGCCCACACAGCTGTCCCACACAGCTGTCTTCTGGGCCTCTCTACCTGCACAGTCCTCCCGCACAGCTGGCCTGTGGGCCTCTGTCCTTGGTGCTGCCACCGCTCCAGCCTCCACTCTGCTCTCCTGCAGCCTTGCAGCCATGCCACCTTGTCGCCCAGACAACTGGGTGGAGCTCTTTATATAGAGTCAATAGCAACGTATTGCCCACATGTGTGTAGTGAGCTAGCCAACCAGGGCCAGGTGAGAATGCTGGCCACAGGAACCTTCATTTTATCCATACCATCCCGCCTTAACACTGTATTCTCCTTATCTCCCTTATTTTCCTCAACACTTGTAATTGACTCACAAGCTAAATGTACTTAGTTTATTGTTTCTCACTAACTAAAATAAAAGCTCCATGAATACAAGCATCGTGTTTTGTTCACTGCTGCAACTCCTAAAACAACGTTAGTGCTCAGCAACTTAGCCATTGGTGTTGAGGGCCCTCTATAGTGTTAAAAAAAAAACAAAAAAATGTTTTTAATTTATTTGAAATGTAATAATTAATAAGGTATCTTGGATTACAACCAGGATTACAGTCGTCCTTCTCAGCGGACAGCCGCGTCTGGGAGGTGTTTCCCTGGGCACCAGGTGAAACTTCACCCTGTTCAGGGGAGGGTTCTCGACTCTAAATGAGAAAGAATTCTCCAGTAGGTCAGAAGAGTGTAGGTAAAGAAGGAATTGATTAGAGCGAGAGTAGTAATGAATGGCAGCGGCCTTGCAAGCAGCTGAGGGCGGGAAAGTGCATAGGGAGGGAGTGGGAGCTTGCTAAACTCAGCATAGGTAAGTCTCCCTCACCAGCTCCTGAAGCCAGGGTCACCTGGCCTCTCCTGTCTGCTGGATCTGCACAGTGTGGGGGCTAGCCCCTACCACCCAAAGATTTGGGGGAGCAGCAGAGCACAGGACGGAGTGAGATTGTGTTCTTAGAACTTCCCCCAAATGGGAGATTTCCAGGTAGGCTGCTCCGGTTTCCTCCAGGTCACCTGGGCAACAGGAACTCGCAGGCCCAAATGTGAGCTCTCAGCAGCCTCTCCCTATTTATCAGGAGTAAAGCAGAGACTAGGTGAAGACTTGGAAATAAAATGAAAGCTTACCACTGGAAAAGTGCAGAGAGACAAAATGCAATTAAGTTCAGCAATGAGAAAGCTTTATTTAAAGTTACATACTTAGAGAAAAGTGTGGGTGTCCTCAGAGAGGAGGCATACCTAAGCGTTTAGGGTCTGGGGTTTTATAAACTGTTAAGGATTTTTCAGGAATGTGACAAAGGGCTAAGGGGTGTAAAATTTCAAATGGTCTCAAGATGCTCATCTCCCATGATAGACACCATGCCTCCTTTCTTCTATTATCAGTCCTACAGCTAATTCTGTAGAATAAACAACACAAGAAATTTGTTGATCTGGTTTCTCCCAAGGATAGCAGCTTCCCTCTGGGAACTTATCAATGGAGACTGCCTGCCCTGCCCCCAAAATGGGCTGAGTTATTGTCTGTTTGCTAAAGAATATGTTAGGAATCTTACTTCCTAACTTCCTGGCTTTTAAAATAGAATTTTTGCCCTAAGATGTAATCTCTCCTGTTCTTACTATACCGCCTATATCTCAGCTTGTTTGGAAAATAAGGATGCTTGTCTCAGGTCCCTGCCCTGTATCACTAACACAGTCATCAAATTTAAGTAAATTTAAGTATCCTTTTATGGAGAAAGGATCCCAAGAAACCAAAGTGCCTAGGGCCCACAAAAGCATGACGGCAGCCCTGGCGCTCCTAAGGACTAAATGAATGAGTAAATGAATGAAGGAATTGAATCCCCCATCAACCCTTGCTGTATGAACACCATGGCCAGTTCACACTTGGGGCTGCAGAGGGTGAGGCCACCTAGTGGGTCCTCTGCAATGAATTCTTCTGCATGATCATGCTTAAAATCAGGAAGTGGGTGAAATTCCACTCAGAAGGTAATAAAATAACTATATGTAACTGTTAGTCACCTGACCCTGTCTCAAGACAAAAGGAGCTTGAGAAAAAAAGTATTAAAAAAACAAACTATCTTCAGAGTTCAACAATATAAAGAGCTCAAGTATAAATACTGAACTTTCCCCCTTGATTGGATGAAAGATTGATCCTGTGGGTAAATTGCAGTATTTCCAGAATCTCTTGCCTGGCCTTTTGAATCTCCACATCAATAGATGCTTCCAAGGGGGAAAGTACCATCTCCGGATCAATAGATGATTACAGAGGTGGGGGAAGCAAGGGTGTAACTGGACTGGAGAAGTTTGTTGGGGTCCCTTTTGCAGCCAGGTCGCGAGAGACCCGAGAAACACGAGTGAAGCAGAAGTGGACGGCTGACCGCTTAGAAGCAAAAATGGGTTTCTCCTACTTTATTTCTCCTTTTGACTGATTTCGGTTTCAAAGGTATTTTGCCCCAGGCTGGGAAAATATTTTCCCCCAGGGAGTTATAGATCCCAAGACACGCCCTAGTTAATAACTTTAAAGCATTAGAAAACGTTGCCCTGCATATTTGTACAGACCTACATCTCTCAGCCTCACTGTGCCTTAAAAAAATTCTAGTTGAACTCATTGTAAAATAGTAACATGTGCAGAACTTCATAAGGTACAGTCCTGACAAGTCAAGACCAAATGTAATTCCAGGATAAAGAAAATATTTTTTTTCCTCAGAGAGCCTATAGAAACCAAATGAAAATTTGGGTTCTATATGGATGTGTTGATGTACAATGGCTCATTTAGTCAGGTAAGATATCAAGATTTCATATTATATGCCTTCTTACTTCTGAGGAACCATTTCCCTTTGGGGTTTCTGTAGTTTATTAATTAAACTTCCTAGTACTTCTCATGACATATGTGATTCTTTGACAAATGATGTGCATATTTACAATTCCGTATTAATTTCTATCTCCCTCACTATAGATTTTCCAAGGGTAAGCCCATTTTTTCTTTTTTTTACCACTTTGCCCCAAGCCTAGCACTGAAAGCACTAGATCAAACCTACCTCAATAATTGCAGAAAATTTCCTTTTAGAGGAAGTGTCGAAACTTGGCATTTTCTATGAGTTCTACATTAATTTTTATTTGACCCTCGCATTG